TGTTATGAGATTAATATAAATATATTTATATATAATAGATATAAACAAATACTGGAATATATCACCGCTTTAACGAAAGACTGAATAATTGTCTAAAAAGTTAATCAGAAAATAATTATGAAAAAAAAACCTGAAACTGAACTACTCAAAATCTTTTTAGCATTCAAGCCATTTGAATTAAAGTGACCGACCACAGTTCATTTTATTTTAACATGCATTTTAGAAGCAGTTTAACTTAGGTAGGACATTACAGTTGCTAAACACGTTCATTTATTAAATTAACTATTTTCTAGTTTTAAATCTGTGGAACAGCAGAATAATGCTGGGGTTTTTAAAGGGGTCATATGATGTTGCTAAAAATAACATTAATTTGTGTATTTGGTGTAATGAAATGTGTTTATGCAGTTTAAGGTTAAAAAAACACATTATTTTCCACATACTGTACATTATTGTTTCTCCTCTATGCCCCGCCTTTCTGAAACGCGTCGATTTTTACTAAGCTCATCGGTCTGAAAAGCGAGGTGTGCTCTGATTGGCCAGCTATCCAGTGCGTTGTGATTGGCTGAATACCTCAAGCGTGTGACGGAAATATTACGCCCCTTACCATACTGTGATGATGCCCTGTCTGGCCGCAGCGACGAGACAAAAACATGAAAACCTATGGAGTCAATATGATGCCACATATATATGCAAAATAATAAAGTTTTGCAAAAGAAAATAAAGTTTTGCAAACGAAAATAAAAGTATTGAGAAAAAATAAATGTGTTTTTTGCAAACACAAATAAAGAATTGCAAAAGAAAATGAAGCATTGCGAGAAAAAAATAAGTTTTGCAAACAAAAATAAAGAATTGCAAAATATAAATGAAACCGCAAAAAAGCAATGATTTTGCAATACATATTTTCCATGGCCATATCTAGTAATTTATTTGCAACGCTGCTTTTATTTTGCGTTTCAGTCAAGTTTGAGCTTGCGATACGTTTTTCCCTTTGCGCTTCAGGTTTCTGCGTGTCTGAGTCGTAGACCTTTTTAATGATGTAAGTTAGTTTATGAAGTTAATTGCATTCTTTAACATTACAACTAGCAGTAACTCTGAGCTCATGTAAACAAAGAACACTTCTGTGCGCTGGCGTCCTCCCACAGGTTAAGAGATTTTAAACAAACACATTTAGTTAAGCAACTGAAACAATCGTCTCTAGGTTACGTATGTAACCATGGTTCCCCGAGGGAACGAGACGCTGCGTCTCTTTGCCATACTCCCTGCATCCCTGCAGGCGCTACTTCATCGAAGCTGGTTTGCGCCCGGCCGGATGTGCCTTTATGCTTTCTGGTGCTTACGTCACCCTGCTCGTGACGTCTCGCTGCTCCATTGGACGGATTTGACACGTGCTTCAGAACGCGGTCACGCAAGGGCGTTCCCAAAGCGACTCGACGCAGCTCGAGTTCCTGAAGGGGAACGTCTCTAGGGTACGTATGTAACCATGGTTCCCCGAGGGAACGAGACGCTGCGTCTCTTTGCCATACTCCCTGCATCCCTGCAGGCGCTACTTCATCGAAGCTGGTTTGCGCCCGGCCGGATGTGCCTTTATGCTTTCTGGTGCTTACGTCACCCTGCTCGTGACGTCTCGCTGCTCCATTGGACGGATTTGACACGTGCTTCAGAACGCGGTCACGCAAGGGCGTTCCCAAAGCGACTCGACGCAGCTCGAGTTCCTGAAGGGGAACGTCTCTAGGGTACGTATGTAACCATGGTTCCCCGAGGGAACGAGACGCTGCGTCTCTTTGCCATACTCCCTGCATCCCTGCAGGCGCTACTTCATCGAAGCTGGTTTGCGCCCGGCCGGATGTGCCTTTATGCTTTCTGGTGCTTACGTCACCCTGCTCGTGACGTCTCGCTGCTCCATTGGACGGATTTGACACGTGCTTCAGAACGCGGTCACGCAAGGGCGTTCCCAAAGCGACTCGACGCAGCTCGAGTTCCTGAAGGGGAACGTCTCTAGGGTACGTATGTAACCATGGTTCCCCGAGGGAACGAGACGCTGCGTCTCTTTGCCATACTCCCTGCATCCCTGCAGGCGCTACTTCATCGAAGCTGGTTTGCGCCCGGCCGGATGTGCCTTTATGCTTTCTGGTGCTTACGTCACCCTGCTCGTGACGTCTCGCTGCTCCATTGGACGGATTTGACACGTGCTTCAGAACGCGGTCACGCAAGGGCGTTCCCAAAGCGACTCGACGCAGCTCGAGTTCCTGAAGGGGAACGTCTCTAGGGTACGTATGTAACCATGGTTCCCCGAGGGAACGAGACGCTGCGTCTCTTTGCCATACTCCCTGCATCCCTGCAGGCGCTACTTCATCGAAGCTGGTTTGCGCCCGGCCGGATGTGCCTTTATGCTTTCTGGTGCTTACGTCACCCTGCTCGTGACGTCTCGCTGCTCCATTGGACGGATTTGACACGTGCTTCAGAACGCGGTCACGCAAGGGCGTTCCCAAAGCGACTCGACGCAGCTCGAGTTCCTGAAGGGGAACGTCTCTAGGGTACGTATGTAACCATGGTTCCCCGAGGGAACGAGACGCTGCGTCTCTTTGCCATACTCCCTGCATCCCTGCAGGCGCTACTTCATCGAAGCTGGTTTGCGCCCGGCCGGATGTGCCTTTATGCTTTCTGGTGCTTACGTCACCCTGCTCGTGACGTCTCGCTGCTCCATTGGACGGATTTGACACGTGCTTCAGAACGCGGTCACGCAAGGGCGTTCCCAAAGCGACTCGACGCAGCTCGAGTTCCTGAAGGGGAACGTCTCTAGGGTACGTATGTAACCATGGTTCCCCGAGGGAACGAGACGCTGCGTCTCTTTGCCATACTCCCTGCATCCCTGCAGGCGCTACTTCATCGAAGCTGGTTTGCGCCCGGCCGGATGTGCCTTTATGCTTTCTGGTGCTTACGTCACCCTGCTCGTGACGTCTCGCTGCTCCATTGGACGGATTTGACACGTGCTTCAGAACGCGGTCACGCAAGGGCGTTCCCAAAGCGACTCGACGCAGCTCGAGTTCCTGAAGGGGAACGTCTCTAGGGTACGTATGTAACCATGGTTCCCCGAGGGAACGAGACGCTGCGTCTCTTTGCCATACTCCCTGCATCCCTGCAGGCGCTACTTCATCGAAGCTGGTTTGCGCCCGGCCGGATGTGCCTTTATGCTTT